TATATATACGATGCTCGGTTGTTCGCCGAGCTTGGCGATTGTACAATCTCCCATGGGCAGTGTGAAATCATCGATTATCATGTTTTTATTTATTTGAATATCAGCCGTAAACGGGCACTGTTTTTCATCTTTTTTCGTTTTCGTTAACTCACTAATGTTTATCATGTTTTTACTGTTAAATCCCGGTAACAGGTTATTGGTCGTAAAAACTGAAGCTATATCTATTCCGTAATGGTTGAGTGAAATCATTTTGAACATCCTCCGATTTTATCAGTGTCTGGTAATGGGTTTATTGATAAGATACACACTGTAACATTCAAGACCAACCATCATCGAAAAGGCCTGTGTGATTCTATTATCATTACAGTTAACAAGAGAAAATGGGTGATCTTAAATTCCCGCATAGTGCGACGAACTGGTACTCCAGCTCCGCTGCGGATATTTTTCAGTTTTCACACATGTGCGGTACCACTCCAATTGGGACTGTATGCTATCCTAGGCTTACTGTTTCATTTGGTTTCCTTCATTTATTGGTTCGAAACTATGAGCTATCACTCATCACCTGCAAAGCTGGGTTTTTATACGTGTGTAGGTCCATTCATTATCATAAATATCAAACCCCAGAATTTGAAGTGGCAACTCACATGGCACCCCACCAAGAGGCGTGATATTTAGCCGGATAGTAATAAAGCTACCCACTGCCAGCGATTCACTTGATCACCGCCGCGCACGCGGCTACAACCTATAAATACCGAATTACATACTGCCATAACAGAACTACCCGCTGGTGCTTCAGAAAATAGGGCGAGGTCGGTTAACTTGCTCGTGCTACGGATTGTTGGTTTCCGAAAAACAGTAGAAGACATTTTCTATCCTTGCAATACTTCTACTGTTAGTCCCGAGGTCACGATGTCTATCACATTCCCTGATGGTGCCTGTATAAATGCTTCGTTTACTTCGAACCTTATATTTAATTACATTTCTCTTTGTTTGTGCAGGATGTTTCCCAGAATCTCGGAAGCTAGTCAGGTGAAACTGTATCGCATGGAATTCGAGCGAACATATCCCGGATACTCACGACTATACCATTCATTTTCTGAAATTTGGGGTACACTTCACGTTCACCATTCCGAATTGCTTGAAGCTACACAGCACAAGAATGTGGATCATTTGGTAACAACCAGACTGGCTGACCAACTAAACGCCTTATTGGACCAGGTCCGTACTCAGCAGTTTTGTGAAAAGCAAACAGAACTCACACTTATGGCCCATAAGTTGCGCCTACTAAAACGCCGTCTCGGTGAATTCCGTGAGAGCCAGAAACGCGCCAAAACATCAGCGTCTGAGTTTGCGAAAACCGCTTCACTCGAGGACGATACCACTCTGCGATTCGAGGGCTCTTCTAGAGAACTTCGCGATTTTTCACGCCTCGATGCAAACGAAACTTCAGAATCATCTGCACCCAAAAATGACCTCACAGTCAACTGTGAAAGAACCAGACGCAATAGCCACTCTTTAGTGTAATTGATAATGCATATTGGACGATGGATACCACTATTCCGGACTGAGTTCAAGAGCGGAAATAAATCGCAGCTGAGCTGTTTTCATGGTCTATATCCCTACGTCTTTCACCGGACCGTGCCCTAGTTTGGGTCCGGTCACATCGGTTCGGCTGTTCCAGTAACGTAACGCGTAACGCAGGTTATTCCTGCGTACAACGTGGTTGCATCGATTTCTTAGCAGGAGTGCCGTATGATGGCCTACACAACTCCGAACTCCGGCTACAAATTTCTCGGTCACGTAGTCATATTCTATACCACTGGATACTGTTGGCCCGAACACGCATGCATTGACCACCCATTGGGCTTTCCTTGTCTCCATTTATTGCATTATTGATGTGTCGTCTGTCGATGGCTCACTTGTAAGCATTTGAACTGTCGGTCGTCACAATACTAGATCCGATGTTTGCAAGAGTTTACCGGAGCCGCTGATGCTTTTCTCTTGCTTAGTCTCTAAAGAGGGAGCAGTCAGTTTGTGTCAGGTGAATCTGTCCTGTGCTGGTCCTGTACCGGTGACTTTTTGCGCTGTCTTATTATTCCGTTCCGGTTGTTCAGGTATTTATCCTACCAGACAAGCGTTCTTCCAAAAAGGTTAAAAATTCCGTCAGGATGATCAAGTCTTTCTGAATTATATTTCATCAAAAATGCGTTCCTCCTTGAACTTTCTCACTTAGCGTACTGTGGTGTATTGGTCAACTGACAAATGCGGTCAGTCTGTTTGAATGTGATCGAGCTGTACATGAATGGATCGTCTTTCGCCCTCTGTAATCCAATTTATTAGATTGTATGCTGAGCATTCCACTCCGAATAGTAATTTCTACAGATTTATCTAACCTGTATGTTCAGCTCACTTCAGATAACCTTAACAGTGATTAGTGGTCTACGACCCACCAAATCGCTTCTCCATTACGGAACCAATTGTACTCGTCTCCTCTCCACTATCCCTATCTTTGATTTTATGGGCCTTCTAATTTTCCTACGTCTTCCGTCAGCATGTTTATCATTATTTGAGTTACCGTCCTCTCGTTTTCCCTTTGCCCAAATCTGATTACCTCCGGTTTTCCGCTTATGGTCTTGGTTTAAACACTGGATTTTAGAAACCAGTTATCAGTTGTGTATATTCTGCATGAACTCCTCTATCCTTTTGCTACCCGATTATTTCGAGTGAGTTTCTGAATATTTGCATTCCGGTTACACTGGTTACTTTATGAAACTGCTTTTTCCGGCTTACGTTCGGACAACCATTTTCAGAGACACTGCTTGATGTTGAACAGTTTCTCATGATGATATTGCAATAATTAAAATCTGGAATGAAACTGTCTACTGAGTTTCTTACATCCCTTTTATTCGTTGTCGAGATCGATTTCAGTTCAACATGTACATCTCACAGCCTTGCACCTTCGTGCTTCGGTTTTGGTTACTGTCTTTCGACCTCCATGAAAAAGAAATGACAATAAACGAAGAAATGAGCATTATCGAAACATAAATTGGAGGGAATCTTGACTGAATGTGCTTAGAAAGTTGGAATATGCTCCAACCCGACCGTCCTCGACGCTTATCCGTATTCCTCCATGTCTGTGAACGTTTTTCTGATTACGGGGCATGCCATCAAAATTCTTAGCACAAATATAAATGACCGAGGTCAGTTTTCAGGGTTTTTATGGTTGCAATCTCGAATCTGATGATATCGTATTACTTGAATTTCTCCAGTTCGAGTATGTGCCCGACCACGCATGTTATAATCTTCGTTTAGTCTCGACATTACTCTTGCGGTACTTAGCTGGGTCGCTTGGTATCTTTGTGGCGAGAACAGTTCTAATTGCTTCCCTATTCAGTGGTCTGGCAACGCTGTTTCATGTGGTAATAAGGTCCGAGTTGTAGTTCATACGATCTATCTCAGATCAGTTTAGTTAGCACCACAACACTGACTGAGTCGAGGTCGGCTATCTGGTATAATTCGGATACCGTTATACTCGGTTGGAGAGCTATCAGGTATAGTTAGCGATGTTGACCAGAATGAGGGAGTCCGAACACTAGTGGCATTTCTTCTTGGTGTCTAGTTTAAGTGTGCGAGATCCCTCACTGTATGCACTTTCTAATTCAATCGTTGAAATGATACGTTTCAAGTACACTTTTGTGTTAGAAAGTCCATTGATTTCCGCTAATTGCAAACCTACAGTTCACTGAAACAAGTCGCATGTCATTCGGGAGGCGATGGAGTATGCATCTGCGAGGATATGGTTTTGGTAGATTACTCCTTACACAGTAAGACTATGAATTGAGGAAGGGAATAACGTAGAGTAATACAGCTTGGGTAGAGCATTTACGTTGATGGTTCTCCATGTGACGCTCTAGCTTTATACCCCAGTAATTCTCGTATAGTGTTCTGTCATCCTTTGAGTTGAACTGTAGCAAAATAGAATGATCGCAGTTCCGTGGCATCGTTTTCGTATGCTTTCAAGCACATAACGGAATGGCTCGAGTGCCGGGCTTATGTAATTTTGTGTATTATTCCGACTTCACCTGAATTCGTCATTTATTTCCACTGGGGTCGGTGGGTCACCGTCAGGTACAATGGGAACCGACGGCTGGTGCGATCAAATTTTCGAATCATTTGGTTATATAAAGTTTTATCGTGAATTCTTGAGTTATACATCTTTCAGCTTTGCTGGAAGGGGCATGGTCCAACTTGCATTTTTCGAACTCGTTTCATCTCAGGTTTTATAGTGCGATTGTTCCATCGTTTCACCTCTTCTTGTCTCTGATCCTCTGCGATCTGATTGGATCCCTTTCCGTGATTTGCGGCCCTTGGAATCCCTCACCCCAACATGAGACGGTCTGATTACCGGCTTTTAATTTTTGTAATGCTCTTGATATCATGCCCACTCCATCAGTGTGGTGATGACATTCCTGCTGTGCAGTCGAAGTTCACTGGGCCTGCCTAAGAATTGCAGCTGTAATTAAGGCATGGCTTCCCTCCCTGGTTAGCTGAGCATGCAGCATATATATATTTATATATTTCACTCACGCCAGACTGCGTGCCAGAGAAATCATGGTACAATGATCTTTTTTTTTAAAAAAAACCTTCCATGATTTGCAAGCACTAGGTCCGTTGTGGCTGAACCATCCGACCGATCGGTCATGCGATTTTTGGGCCGGCATAGGAAGTGCATAAGTTCTGAGTCCGATGCTGCTCAAGTGTTGGTAGAGAATCACCACAGGATAATCATTTGTGAAGCGATGCACCATGTGAGAAATTCGGAATAGAAAAACTTCAAGTGATGATGACACTGGACCAACGTTTGACTCGTATAAAATACACGCGCTATTTTTCGAAGCGGGTTCGATAAACGGATAATCATAATAAAACTTTGAACTTGTGACAGACTCCATTCGTTGGGCCGTTGAAAAGCCCAAAATCGCACCATAGTCTCAAAAAATCCAAAGGAGACAGATCAGGTGATAGGGGAGGCCATTCTTTTGGCAGTCGGCCGATTCATTCCGGATCGAGAAAATTCTCACCACCAGAGCGTTGTGTGGCGGTGCACCGTCATGTTGGAACCAAACTGTGGTACCAACTTCAGTTTATGTGCGCCGGATGGGAGGTACCACATTATCTGATAACAATTGCAAGTATGAGGCGCCGGTAATCAGGCCGTCTCGTGTTTGGGCGAAGGAATCCAAGTGCCGCAAATCGCGGAAAACGATCCAATCAGATTGCAGAGAGAGTCAAAGGGAATTTACTTGTTTAAGGTCACGGGTGAGAAGGACAGGACAACGTGAAACGATGGAGCAATCGCACTGTACTAGTAGCGAATTGCATAGCTTTTGGCGAGCCTCTGTGTCCGAAATGCGGGTGAGCAGAGGACTGTAAGGTGGTTATTTACTTGTGGGAGGTAGCATGGTATGTTCCAAAATGCAGTATTGCTCATTATCTGTTCTCGTACCAACGTTCTGTTAATAACGTTTTTGTCATTCCTCGTTCTTTTGCTCTTAGTTCGACCGAAATTCGCCTTATATTTGTTCGCTTGATCGAGTAATAAGGAAGAGAAACGTTGATGTGGTGGAGAAGTTACATATTCCAATCTGCTCAACTGAGCAGATATCAGCTCCATCTAAGTTCGACTTATGCACATCCATCAAATCGACAGCTTTGAGCGAAGAACATCTAGCAGGAATCTGCCTGGATGTGGTTGCTATGCCACTGTCGTTTAATCGCGATGCGGATAAACGCTTCCGGGGGCACATTGGCGATACACAACCAATCGGCATTGGCATAACCTGTGATCTGTCATTGTTTTGGTCATGGTGATCTGGTCCATTTTCATCTGCTTTATCGTTTTTATATCGGGCGCGGTGGACAATCGTCAACATTTGTGATTCCTTTCGTTATTGTTCGATACTCCTCGATTCTGCAGGGGTACACTTGAAAGGTAGTAATACCGTTTTAAAATTAGGTGTTTGTGAATAAGCCCATTGTTAGCATGGTTGTTATCAAATTTTGACCATTTATTCACCAAAAGACTATTTGATAGGATTGAGTTTTTGTTAACCGTTTGTGACGCCTACAAGCATGCAAAAGTTTCACTGCCAAAATACTTTTAGACACTTACCACCCATTACAAAACCCATTTTCAAAAGCTGTATCTGCATCATCCACACACTCAAGATTTAAACTTTCATTTGCTCGTACCTCTGCTTATCGTAATTCTGTTCTGCCATATCTAGCACGTCTACTTATTGACAAAGAGAAAATTTCCACAGAATTGCGCAAATGCTTGCTTCATTGACAAACACAATCTGCTGCTTTCAGTTTCATTATGTAATGATTTTATAACTTTGAATCCACAAATGTGGTGTAAATGCTGAGAATTCACCCTTCCGGGTGCATAAAGCTACTACTGAATTGATTGGACTTGACTTGATAAACCATGATTATTACTAAAGCTGCTATTTGTATCATTT